AACCTATATGACCAGAGACTTATGAAAAGGGATAATTTATAATATACAGTGTATTATATATCAATTCTAAATTGTGCATTCTGTTGTATTCGACACGACACGTTAAATTGATCCTGTGCAGCGTGCTACTTCGTCTGAATATTATTTCCTGATTGTTTTATTGTTAAGTTACATAATAGTCCTTAATTATTTTCATTTAATAGTACACGGAAGTAACTTTAATAAACTGTTCTAACAAAACGATTTTCGATATTCATTATTTTATGTATTTGTTATAAATGTTTGCTGACAGTTTTAGGCTGGTTTGTTTTGTTTCAATTTTTAATGTTTTTTTTTCAGGTTTTGAGGGGTTGTTTTTTTTTTTTTTTTAAGTTTTTAAACTTAAATCAGCTGTTTTTTGTCTGTCGTAAAGGACGATAATTTTACTTACCATGCCGTCCCATCAAATTTTAATTTTATTATATACGTCTAAATATTTGACAACTTTACGACAGACGTTCTCCATCGGATAACCTGTGGGTATACAGGGCTAACACCATACTTTATAAGTACTTCGTCTCAAATTTATCCAAACAATGTTAGATCTGCAAACTTGCGTAAGAAAAGTTTGTTTCTTCCCTCTTTCCTCGTCGGCGTTACAACAATGTATCTAGGGTTATATACATATGGAGAGAGAGAGAGAGAGAGAGAGAGAGAGAGAGAGAGAGAGAGAGAGAGAGATAAAGGCCGTATGGTTTAACCAAACAATATCATAGTAATTTCCACGTTCAAAATTGTCTGTACATACAGATTTGATTTTTAAGTCATCTCGCGAGAGAACAAGTTACAACCATTTTATACATCCTTCGACGACCATGCACCGAGCATGTAAAGACAGAGGTTCTAAACCACTACACCAGATCCAATCTTTAAAAGAGGAAGTTTCACTCGGACAGTGTTACCTATGCTTGTCACGAAAGCTTTCTAATTAGTACTTGTCAGTTACATACACAGTGTTTGATGCGATCAGTAGATTTCAATCCGTTGTGGGCATATGGATCTATATATAAAAGAGGGGCGAAAGATACCAGAGGGACAGTCAAACTCATAGATCGAAAACAAACCGACAACGCCATGGCTAAAAAATAAAAAGACAAACAGACAAATAATAGTTAACAAGACACAACATAGAAAAACTAAAGACTAAGCAACACGAACCCCACCAAAAACTAGGGGTGATTTATGTATAGATACCAACACTATTTTAAATTCTATTTGTAGATAATTGAGGTATTCACTGTATATTGATTTATTTTGTTCATTTTGTGAAAATACTACAATAAGAAATTTTGTGCACGGATACCTCATCCTGACGCATGTTTTATTTTGCTTTTCTGTGTACTCCAGTGATTACACATTAAATTCTTTATTTCCTCCATCAGGCTTTCATTTTATACCAAAAATAATCCAAATATTTTACTTATTGACCAAATTACATTCCAGCAGCGCCTGCATATAGAGTATATATCTCCCAGTTGATACGATATTCAAGGAGCTAGGGTTTCCTAGCACGATTTCCTTGGTAGAGGATTGTTGCTCACAAAGAAGCTATTGAACCAAGTTAGTGGTTCTATACTATATCAGAACCTACCTTGCTAATTTTCAAATAAAATTTAATGTTACTCAAAGAAAAATAGTGTTAATCCATTTCTCGAGTCAAACGCATTGAATTTTTGGAAAATGTCATATTCATTGAAAAAGATGAAATCGCAATAGTATTAATTTCAGACCAATTTCCAATACTAGTTGGGTATGCAAAACACTTGAACAGATGGTCAAATTGAATGATCGCTTTGTTTGGTTTGTGGAGTCAATTTCTATTAGCCAACATATGAATACAATGCGGATTTCGACATGACAGTAATTCTCTTAACCATTTTGATAAATTTTAATGATTCACCTATAATGGATTAGACAAAATGAACATTTGTAGGCTAACTAGATTACTTTTTATCCAGAAAAGTCATATGACACCGATTTCAGGTAAAGTATCGTGAAAATATTTTTTTTGGTTGTAAAGGCAAGATGTCTTATTTCATTTTCATTTTTTTATCTGATATATTCCAGTTACCTTTACTATGTCCGAATTGTAGATATGAAAACCTCTGGGTAATATACTCTCATTTATTTTATTTAGTATTAAAACTATTAGTTTAATTATAGAAATATTGAAAAAATAACGTTCAGTGTTCTTTATATGATGATAAGTTTCTCATATGCAATCGATGACATAATTTGTATTGTATTGAGCGGCAATTACAGCTGTGCCTCGGCAGAATAGACGAATGCACCTCTAAAACAGCTTTGAAATATTTACACTTCAAATACGGTAGGGATGCATTTTTTTAACAAATGTAAATTTCATCCAGATCCTGAACTCTTCCTGTATAATAGCACTATAAATCAGGTGGATAAAACTAAATTATCAGGTCTTATATTTTATAGCAGACATAATTTTTCTCCATTTTAAAGATGCACTTCTGTAAATATAGACACTGCAATTTCCATTTTACGTCTTAAACTGTGCCACTTTTACTATGAAGTTTCGAAAAAACAAATATGTTCTAGAATGGGAAGTTCATATGCAATACTATTTTTTTCAAAGGTTAAAATATAGGGATGTGCGGCATATTTTCAACATTTATATACTTCGAACTTCTAAGAGTTTAAACTTATATTAAAACTCTGTACTACGCCTGCCTTCACTTTGGGTCTTCATCAAAATTCAATGTTGCCGCTATCAATGTGTTTGTATACTGGTAACATTTCTAAGTTGTGTTTCTATGATATGAAACATAGAGATCATATCTGGGCAAAACAAAATATCTATGAATATTATATATCTCCCCAAAAGATGCGTGGTTTGTGAAACAGCTGTATTTACAAAGTGTAACCTATAAATGCTTAGATCTAAATGTCGTAAATAATGTACAATCTATCTACTTCAATGACTTCTGTTATTTTACCGATAGTGTTCTATTTTCGATTGTGGCATTTTACTTAATGTGGACTCAATTGATGTGGGGGGTGCATGTATAGACGGACACGCTTTCCCTGTCGACGCATCCTGTCTCGGTCCCTTTTTGGAGTTTATGCGATTCTGTTAGGTTTTTTTATTGTTACTTTGATTTTTGTCTCTTCTTAATCGTTTGACGAGATTTGAATATCGGTAAACTACTATTGCTTTACTTTTTGACCTAATAGCTGCTACTTCTTATAACCAATGCTGAATTTTATAGCATTTGTTTTATATATCACACTGCAGTGTGTTAAACGTAAATTTGTTGACAAAATAACATCATTAATTTAATCAGGTTGACATAAGAGTTCCTACCATGAGAAAATTTATATGAATAGTGTTGATTGATTTATTTTTTTTAATAGTCTACGCTATTAACATTTTAGTGAAATTAATAATATTAGCTGAGATCTAGTTCTAAGTTGATATTTCTCAGTTCCAACTTGGAAGTGAGACATCTAAACTTCAAAGTTAGAACTGAGAAACGTGAACTTGGAACTGAAAATTTTCAATTTGGATCTGATAAATGTCAAGTTTGAACCAAGAAATGTCAACGCGTCTTTTCTCGTTTCAATAGAAAATGTAAGGATATGGAGTAAATGTACATGGGACAAAATCGCACACAATACATAGAAAACATAGAAAATTATCAATGAACAGGGCTGTTCAAACTTGGAACTGAAAATGTCCATACCGGTCTTTCTTTTCACACCTATTTGTACGATTTACCAGTTACAAATCTATTTCTAACTTATTTGAAATGAACAAAGGGAAATTTCGATATCATAATGAAATAACGATTTCTTTTACAGTTGTGAAGAAGAAGGGATAATAGTGTTCGATGAAATAACTCTTACAATAAAAAAAAATATTCGATTAAGAGGAGCTGGTTCTGAAAGTGCAATACTTATACGATATCACAGTACAAATTTATAATCGACAACTTGCGAAACCACAATTCAGCGCAGAAATACAGAACAATTTCTAGAGGTCTTCCTATAGAAAGGTGGAAAAGACCGAATAATCAGATTAAAATCAAAATGTCTTTCCACGGAAAAGTGGAAGGCTTAACATATTTTTTCAGAACAATTTCAAAATGCCTTTTCTCGGAAAAAAAGAAAGGCCTTAATATATGTAAATGGATACAGCTTAAAAAAACCCGATTTGGAGTCAAAATGTTCGCTCTCTCTTTTTGTTGAAAATCATATACAACATGTAATCGTCTGACCTGAATTATCATTGATGTGGTCAATATCTTGTAATAAACTGTTTATAACTATTAAAATCATTCAAAATACCAAGCCTTTGCTAGACCCACACATTGATCTACATACCAGATTTAGCACATTTTTAAGAAACGTTGTTTACAAATTATTGATTGATTTGGCTTGTTTCTCATTGGTTTGATTCTGACGCCAATCATATGTCTTGTGTAAATAAAAAAGCGTCTCTTGTACAACGTTTGAAGGCATTGTATCTTTTTGAATGGTAACCGTACTAAGAAAAATATTACATACATAAAATTGAGAATGGAAATGGGGAATGTGTCAAAGAGACAACAACCCGACCATAGAACAGACAACAGCAGAAGGTCACCAACAGGTCTTCAATGCAGCGAGAAATTCCCGCACCCGGAGGTGTATATCTTGATGTTTTGTTTTACATATCATGTGCGCATTTAAACAATCATCAACATTCTTCTGTAATATTTTAGTATGCCAATATTTTATCTCTTGGATCAAAATGATGTTCTCCATTTGAAATCAGTTGGAGTAACTGGTCGATATAAATTTAACGGCGTAACTATTCCTATTGGTATAATATGACCCTGACACGTTTTTTGTTTTCCTTTTATTCATGAGAAGTGGGGGTTTTTTTTTTTTGTAATTAAAACTCATTTTTGTCTGTACTAGGCATGTACACATATATTTAGATAGCTACGTCACATTGTACCTGTATAATCCAGGTCGTTCACGGACAAATGCATTTAAAATGTTCAAGTAACTAGAGTTATATTTATCGTACATAAACATAAATGTTATTTGACAAAAGAGAGTTTACACAACACACTCTGAAGGCAAGTATAAAACTATATTGTTCTGTGTCTTTTTCCCTTTGTCAATAATCTGAACATACTTTCGAAATCATTTGGCAAAGTTAATTGATGTGTTAGTGCACGTCAATTCTCATTTTTTTCGGATACGGACAGATCTTATAGCATCCAGTTGTATTACTCTCTACACAAGAGCAAATGTTAAAAGGATATGAATGTGGTATACTAATGTTCGTATAGAATTTCTTAAGACTTGATACATGCAAAAACTATGGGTGAGGAAATCAACGGAATCACATTATATCTTAGTTTAACATTTCATTTATGATCAATAAAGCAGAAGTTCTTTTGTATTTGCTAGTTGATCTCTTTTTACAGTTTTGATTTACAATTACTCATCAGTATATCGTATTAGAAATTCCTTTTGTTGTATATACACACATTTCAAATATGAATAACAAACGAACCTGTGAATTACGCATACCTAAGGCATGTACGAACATAAAAAATTAAATAGGTGAGAAATGGGACTCAACTTTGATCGGAAGACTAATCACCTTTTGCATACCACTTCAAATATAAACAATAAGTCCGCGATTTCGGTGACGTCTGGTGTTCTTTTTTAATATTGACTGGGGCCGTGGAATATCAGGGCGCAGTCCATACAGAAAACATTAACATCACCGACTCAGACTTGGGGCGGCAAATTTCTGACCCGAAATAGTTACATATTCATTCATTTTCAAGTAGATAAATCCATAAGCCTTTAGTATGATAACACTTACTAAGACTAGAAATCTATGCCTATTATCATAATATGAAAGAATAAAAGTGCGGGGGTCGAGATAGTTATACAGTTATAAGTCAATGATTTGTTTTTAATATAAATTACATAAATGGGAGAGATCAACTATATCGTCACATGAAACAGATTTTTTTCTATAAAAATGGACCTTGAATATAAACTCTTGTCTGATGTCATGACAAATCTTACTTTTTGAAGAATCATGATTCCAACAACAAAATACACAATCATCAAAATGAAAGACTGTTTGATTGACAACATACTTTTTTTTAATTTTGGCGGATTGATATTTCAACATGAAGTCGATATTCGGATGGGAACTAATTGTGCAGCCCTACAGGTCGAGTCGTTTTTATATTCATATGAAGCAAAGTTCTTTGATTTCTTTTAAAGATGTATTGATGATGTCCTAACTTCCCATTTCTAAGGAGTAACTAATCTTCTGTCCCATCGCATGGCGTTAACATATCTCAGTTACTTTATATGGACTTCATATGCGACGTAGTGCTTCTAACACAAAAACTGCAGCAGGTATGAGGTAGAAAAACTGACATCGACACTACATAAGTGTTACGGTCACAGTCACGAACTCATTGACCAATACGATGTGCCCGTGTCCGAACTCACTAGCGACATGTTTCCGCGATCTTAGATCTTTAGAAAACATTAGTTGTCTGATATGTAATTTTATCAAATGTGTCCTATTCCCGATTTTTACATTTCTGTGGACTGGGTACCCTTATTAACTATCGGTTATTGGTTAAAAAATGCAAAAAATGACAGTTGTGTTTTTTCTTCATTTTTATTTCATTAAAAGCAATGAACGCAGAGTCGTCATGTAGAACTATATTTCCCTTCCAAATCACTATAATTTCGTTCTTTCATTGTTGCCATTTTTTACGTTTACGATTTTTTCTAAATCAAAAAGAAATTAACTAAATTTTCATCAAATCAAATGCGCCAGATTATTGATTGACATTATTCCTGATTACAACATTATTCTTTCCCAAGCAAGATACACAGATCATGAACGTTCACCATTTCAAGTTGCTTCAAATTCCGTACACCATTATACAATTACATGAAACATGTTTTATTTGGAAGTTTCCGCCGACAAAAACTTAATATGTCCGGGCTGCAATATGACTGGAGGGCGACTCTTTGTTCCCATATTGTTAATTAATATTAAGCTACCAATAATTGATCAATCAATCCTATACTTCATCGTACATTAGCAAAAACAATGTTTATTTGTATCCATAACCTCATTTAAACTAGTTTTATTCACTGAAGTGTTGTTTTAAAAATATATTAGTATAACTTTTATTTGAGTTGTCTGGTACGACACGGTATTAATGATTATTTTGCATAATTTTTATTCAAAGTTTCAAATTTTAAGACAGTTGAAAAAGTGGAAAAGTTACATCAACGAATCTAGGTCAAAACTGACTTCGGACAATAGACATTGCAGTCAACAACATGCTCTCCAGAAGTGTAGAGCAATCTATAGAAGGAAAAGAACAGAATGACAGATTCGGAAACAAAGTCAGAGGAATCATAGGGAGGAAAGAGGTAGGGATAAAAGAGACGATGTAAAGAGAAGAACAACACGTGAGAAATGAGGTAAGATTTAAGGCGTATTGACCAAGGTCAAAAGGAGAATGCGATGTACTGAGACGAGAGTCTTGAGATTGACAAAAGAAAGAAAAAATGTTTTGAAAAGTGGTATCAGAATTATGCAGTATTTTCCAGGATCAAACGTGTAACAGGTGGTAATGAGGTAAGAACAAAGGAACAGTAATCAAGGTCATAGAAAATAGTGATGTCAATATCAAGGTGTATTAGCCTAGATCAGTATAGGCGTACGAGTGGTCAGGTAAACATAAAGTTGCAGTGGTCAACGTAGGAAGGAGAACAGGGAGCTTGAATGACTTAAGGAATAATGGGTAAGGTCTGAAGGAGCAAAGTTGTAGTGCTTTATTAATTAAAGAGTAGTGGCCATTGTCAGAAGTAGCTAAGTTAGATTAAGCCAAAAATCAATGAATATTGGACAACGTCAGATGCTGCCTAGGGGGTAGTGAAACAAGAATTAAAGAGTAGTGACTAAGTTCAGAAAAAGTTTTCAGAGACGTGAAGAAAATATTAAGAGTATACCAGGAGAAGGAGAGGATGTAATGAACTCAGAATTAAAGAATAAAAATAAGGAGGTAGAAGTAAATTATGCTTATTGCGTATTAAGGTGATGCTGAATGATTTCAAATGTATGGACCACAGGCAATAGAGTAGAATAAGTTTTAGGGCAAGCGATGTAGAATAAAAGTGAGATAAGAATGATGGAGTACTAGTAGGAGGAGACAAAGTCAGGAGGAGTTTGAGGTAAATTGATGTAAAGATCAAGAAAAATGTAGGGAAAATGTGGCAGAAGGAGACAATGTAAATAGAAGTGTAGAAAAGGACTGGTTACCATAGAATGAATCGATTTGATCATAACATTGTTATTCTGAGCTTTTAGTGGTCTTTATATCAATAAGAAACACACGTTCGATTGTTTGTTGAAATTAAAATATTCATTTTCTTTAGCATCATTTATATGCGTGTAGAAGCAGGGTACCATATTTGAAATTATGTTTTTCTTCGTACTGACATGGTTTATAACACACCTTTCGTAACTTCTTCATTGATTGATTTATAAATTTTAAGAAACAAACGTTCAAACTTCCTCAGGTGATTTGGCTATACTTTTTTAGTTTACTTTTGATCATAAATCTCCTCGCGTATTCAACTTGAGATAAAGGATACAACAGATACGGTTAAGTTTGCTTAAACCATTGTGGTGACGTCAGCCTATTCATTTCCCGTAGATTCTTTTTCTAGAATCAACGCTTCCTAAATCTTCCGCTGAAATGGACTCACCAAATTATATTCAATTGTTTTCTTTGTGTGTCTAATATCATTAAGTTTGAATTGGCCAATTTACTGATTTCTGTTCACTAATGGAATTAATTTAAAAACTTACCTTTAATTTTTGTAATTTTTATATGCCTTCACTGGGAATTGAACCCTTCCTTGAAATCGGTTATGTTTGTGACTGACATCAACACATCGACGAAACCTCTCGACTACCAATGGGTTACAATTAAAATGTCTATTTTATATATATATAAATGAACATATGACATACATCGGTACAACGGACACACATGGCTTGTACCTTTATATATACATAAAAGGCAGTCGTATAGTATTAGTTGGTAGCCGTAAGGTTAGCATGGTTAAGATCAATGTGTTACAGGTAGGGACTTGTCGGTTTAGGTTCGAATCCCTGTATTCTCTTTGTTGTCCCAATTCTTAAGTTATCCTGTTTTTTCTTAAGGAATAGCGAGTTTTACCGTTTATTTTTTGGATTATTATCTGCTATTTCACATGTTTGAAACGAAAATTATTACATTCTATTTGTCCATTTTTGTTTTATAAATATAGTATGATTTCATCTGTTTTACTACATAATATTAGAAATGTATTCGCATTCCTATAGTGCGAGTAAATCGTGATGTGCCTAGAATTAGGCTTCTTGCTAGAAATTTCTGTAATATACTTATTATATATACTTTATATATGCTCTTTGGTCGGGTTGTTGTCTGTTTAACTCATTCCCAATTTCTTTTCTCAATTTTATTAGAAATAAGTTCGAATATGTCTTATTTTGTAAACACAGATAATATTCAGATGCCTGATAATTTAAAGACAGGCGTGTTGTGTTATATTTGTATTTTTCTAACCAATTAATTGTGATCTTAGATTTATTAATGCATCGATGAACATGATCACATGGTTATTTACACTCACTTACAATACCTTCTAATTAAGAAAAGGCTTTAATTTTGAAAAGACATTAACACAATAGTTTAAGTTATAGATACAATGGATAAGGTTGATTCATGAAAAACAAACCATTCGCCCTCCGGGCTCATGGTTTCTTTTTCAAGAATCAACGCCTATGCATTGTATCTATATAACCTCATATCTTGACTTACATCTAGAAATTGACAATGAGGGTCGGTTGAAAACAAAACTTTATGACAAAAGAGATGATTTCAGCTTCTCAATTGTATACTTTCCATTTTAATGAAGCAACATTCCAGCAGCGCCTGCATACGGAGTATATATCTCCTAGTTGATACGATACTGCAGGGCTTGTATTTCCTATCATGATTTCCTTGATAGAGGGTTCCTGCTCACAAGGAAGCTATTAAACCAAGAGTTCCAAGTTGTGGAGTTGAAATCGTCCCTTCGTAACCTTTACGGACGCCATCACGAGTTGGTTGACCGTTATGGAATATCCTTTTCACAGATGATAGCGGATATGTTCCAAATGTCGTAACTACAGTCCCGTCCCCTTTTCCCGAATGTGATCTTCCGAATTAGACTTATTACCGGGTTTGTACTTACATGAGTAACACGACGGGTGTCACATGTGGAGCAGGATCTGCTTACCCTTCCGGAGCACCTGCGATCACCCCCAGTTTTTGGTGGGGTTCGTGTTGCTCAGCATTTAGTGCAATTACGATTCGGAAACCAAGAACATAAAAAGAAAAAACCATCTAGAACTGCTAAATCGGGATAAGCTATTTTGAACATTATCGATGAATAAATATATTGCGTATACTGTCACAAATGATTAAGTACTAAAATAGATGACTAGTCGTCAGAAACGTCTGCAAATAGTGTACAAATATATATTTCAATTACACAGACTTTGAGGTTTAATTATTTTAACTCATTTGCAGCTGACAACATACTTATCCTCACAATATTATTATGCAATCTAATAATAGCTGTTATTAAGACAACAGTACTTTACCGATGTTCAAATCTAATAAACCGATTCAGACGACAAATCAAGGTAAAAAACAAAAACTGAGGGAATTGCAAGCGAGACCGGGTGCATCGACATGATCAGTATCCCCTGCTATGCATGCATCACACGCCATGAAAATCCACACTTACAATCGGTAAAATTAAAAATTAAATATTTGACAATTATGCTAGTATCTGAAGATTTAAGACTGCAAAAGCATTCTTATATTATTTGGGATAAATTAGAAGCCATCACCTACTGACATCTGTGGTATTGAGGACAGTATATCTGCGATATATCTGAAATTGAAATTGGAGAACTTTGCAAGATGTGTTTTCTTTCTGTCTTTGTAAAGATTTTGTTTGAATTCTGAATCATACCAGCACAACTATTGGTAAATTATTGGTACCCATTGGGATATCGAGTGTCTGTTGAAATATCAATCTACCAACCTCAACACATATGTTGTCGACCAAAAGATCTAGCATTTTGTTGATATCTTCTGTTTAATTTTTGTCCGGAATCAGTACGGTTCGTCGTATAGTAATGATTTATTATGACCCAAACAAGAAGTAAATTTAATAGCCATGTTTGTAAAAAAATCTCTGTTTATTTGAGCATAGGGAATAATAGCGTGAAGCTTAGAAAAATTCAAACAGTTTTGATATTACTTCAACATTGCAATTTATGATCTTTAGAATATAAAAAAAAACATATGATTGACAACAACTCTGGTTGAATATAACTCATCACAATATTTTAAAAGGCCAGGTTTTACTGATGAAAGAACGGTGGTAAAAACTTATAAAAGTCGATCATCATGACAAACCGGTAATAATCCTTCTTTACAAGGATTCTTGCTAAATTTTGGTGTCCAGTATAAATATAAAAATAAGAAGATGTGATATGATAGCCAATGAGACAACTTTCCACCATGGACGAAATGACATAGAAGTTAACAACTATAGCTGTAGGTAACCCTACGGCCTTCAACAATGATCAAAAAAGTAAAATCACAAAAATACTGATCTCCGAGGAAAATTCAATACGGAAAGTCCCAAATCAAATGGCAAAATCAAAAGCTCAAACACATCAAACGAATGGATAACAACTGTCATATTCCTGACTTGGTACAGGCATTTTCTTATGAAGAAAATGGTGGATTGAACCTGGTTTTATGACTAGTCATAAACCCATAAAGACTGGATATTTTCATCCTCCATTTTATGTTAATATTAAACGAAAGAAGGACTGATATGTGCATTTCTAAAATCGTCTCTTTCGTGAATGATGTAAGGGTATATGTTACTGTAACTTCCGACTTCCTTAGTTGGATTTTGAATATGGCGATGTTTGCATATGAAACAATATTGATAGAGGTTTTGTCTGCTGCAACAACAACATGTTTGTCGTGACGATATGATAAAGCATCCACAACCTCATGCTTCTTTAAAGGGCTTATATCCATTATGCTTATTGTCATTGAGTTTATATGCGCTTCTGAATGTAAGACCGAACAAGTTAGATCCACTCAGATTATGTGTTTAGTTTTGGTACATCGTGCTCGGGCTTTACAAAATGTTATTTATAATTTTTAGCTGCAGCCTTCAATAATCAGATTTCTTCCATCAGTTAAATGACTAGGAAATTCGATATTGAAACAAAAGTTTTTCAGAAATCAATAACTTTGTCGAGCATAAATGCAATTTTACTAACCTTAAAAAGAAGCTTCTTTGTGATCATAAGACGGTATCCATAGCAATATTTTGAAAATCAGTTTTTCAGTTGACCTCCTTTTCCTAAAAATATAAATTTGGTTTTTTTACTGATAAAATGTATTTACAGTGTAAGATTAAATTATTTAGACATCAATTTCTTTGTCAGACTTCCTAGAATTTTACGAAAGATGGACAACAGCATCTTTTTTGGTTTAAGTCAGAATCCTGAGCAAAATTATGAAACATAGTTTTCGTTTTAACAGTTTTTTTTTAATTATTTTAGAATAAGGAATATATTTCCCTCGTGGAAAGCTCTGATTTATTTTCCGGATTTGGTTTTACTTTAGGTTCTAATAGGTTTGATCCGCTTTTCAACATTTGTATAAGATTTTACATAATCAAATATTTTGTCCTCGAGTATCATTGAAAAGGCATATAATGTCGAAATGCGCATCTTGTTCATTAAAGTTGGTCCCGAATATGTTATTACAGAGAAGAGACAGTTTTTGAAGTAAGCGTTTACAAACAATTCGGGGTAAATTTGTCAAGCCTTCAAATGGTTTATGAAACTTTAAAAAAAGCGTTGTATGATCATGATATACTATACCTAAAGCACAATTCTGAAACAAAACATACTTTTCATTTTTAGAATTTTACTGATAGATGTAGATTTCTTTTTTGCAATAATATTTACATCCAGTCTTGGGTTGATTTTTTGGTTTACATCAATAACTTTGTTAAATCTTCATGAAAAGATAAGAATTATTTTTTTTCATAATCAGGAAAAATCATTGAAATTTTATTTCCTTTCAAATGGACTAAGATTTTGGCAGTAAACAATGCACTTTTACCTTGTAGGATTTTGGAAGTAAACATTACTATTTTTAAAACATTGACAGCAGCAATCGCAAGCAAGACACAACGTTCCGGAAAACCATACTCTTCTGTCTTTAAGAACTATATCAACCACTGTGGATTCACTATTATTCGTTAGATACCAATTTTCGTGGATTTCGAGGGTACAGGGCAACCACGAATTCAAATGTTCAATGAATTATAATTCAAATTTATATATGCAGACTTTGACAAAACCACGAAATCAAATATCCACAAAAATGCAAGTTTTCTGACATCCACGAAAATTGGTACCCACGAAAATAAACGAATTCACAGCATCTCTTTATTTGAAACATCTCTTTTATGCCTTTCCTGTCATTGCATGGTCGTTCTTTTTATAGTAACGTACTTTCATGTTACAAAAATCATAATTACAAAAGTTTAACAGTACCTAAGTAGAAGTACTTGATGTTAAAACTTTGTGATGTCAATAGGTTTTGTAGTAGCAGGAGATATTGTAAAAGTAATTAAGTTTATTGAAACGAGAAACAAAAATAAATACGCAAAATTGTTATCTTATATTCTTGCATTGCTGGTGGTAATCTTTACAACAATTTAAATTTTAGAAGTATTATTGACATAACATGGTAAATTGACACAACCTCTATCAATGCAAATAAATATGTAAAGAATTTTCCTTGAAACCAGCTTTATTATTCACGAAAAGGGTGACCGCTGAAAATCTATCAAAAAAAGAAATATAACATGTATAATACCCAAAATAATACACCACACATCAGGACAGGTATCAAAATACTACTATAATTCTTAATTGACATTATTAAGATTTGCATGTTTTGACTTGTAATTCAAAAACTATTGTGTGTCTAGACTTGCTTATGAACATGATAATTGAAACTAGTAAGATATATTCAATTTTGAAATTTAAAAATTTCAATCTTTTTTAAGACCCATCTAATACAATATACATATATTTAATTTCTGCAGAACGTATAACATGAACAGTTAGATATGATCTTAAACTCAAATCCCGAACGTACTTGTTACAGTTTTGGGGAAACTAAATATTTACCTTAAAGTTAATGAATGTACGATTAAAGATATTTTACATTTGTCATAAATAAACGTATATATTTCTTACAGCGTCGTTCCTTTGATCCATTTCGACTTATGATTGAATTCAAAGCCACAGCGCCTGCTGGGTTTCCTGATCGCCCAAAAAGAGGAGTTGAAACAGTATGTAAAATACAAATAAATTTGTGCAAATATTTATTTAGTGCTACATATAAGCAATTCTTTGATAAAATTCATTTTAGGCATTTGGTTATATCAACATTTTTTTCAATTCACCTTTCCAAATTGTAAACTGGTAAATGTTTGATAGCCCGTTTCAATGCAGTTAAAGGACTAGATTCACTTTTACCAACACTTGGCTTTATCATAAAATAAAAAACACTTTGGTTCTTAAATGGGTCTATTTCAGAAGCCAAAATGCTAAGTAACTCTTTGTAACTAAAACTTGTATTTTCTGGCCTGATTGATTTTAAATCGAAATATTAGGGCCAATTTTAACCCTTCAAGAACCTTCTCTTTTTCATATATGTGGCTTGTATTTCAGTGTACCATATTAGATTTTGTTTTTCGATAATTTAGCGCACTCCGAAAAGCTCTTTGTGATACTGCGTCTTGGAGTGTAAAATCCATTTTTGAAACAAGGAAATTCTGAATTAATAAGAGTTGTGAAAACAAACTATAGTTCTACAGATTTACATCTTTAGTTTATGTCATCTGCATTTAACTCATTTACATTGGTTAAGATCAGTCAGTTCATAAAACTGCAGCATGTCCAATATCAATAATTGTGTTTACTTTCACTTCATAATTGTGATCATCACCTTGAGACTGATAAGATGTTTTAATTCTACTGATACTGGTATACTGTTAATTCATACATGTGTGTATAATTATTTGAAATTGTACCGCTGTGGATTGATCACTTCATTATTATTATTATATTGTACTCGTTAAACATAAAGTTTTGTGGTGTAACTTGTACTTAATAGTTTTCATATCATTGTTGGCTTCTATTACACTTTACGGGTTCAAATGCACAAAAACAACATTGGATCAAAAACACAATGTACTAACAAACCTTAAGCCTTGAACTTTATGTTCATTATTTACCCGGATTTAAATGCAATGACAGTAATTCATCGTGTGTCCTTCCCCCGTTTACTGGATTTAAATACAAGAAAATGTCGTTAACACACAGTTTAAGTCTCAAAACCAATAACGTGAAGTTTTGTTAACCTATCTCTACAATAAATAAACTCATCAAAGATACCGGAATGAAAATTTTGTACACCAGAGGCACGTTTCGTCTACAAAAGACTCAACAGTGACTCTCGAATCAGAAACGTTAAATGTGCCAAATAAAGAGACATACTGTTGGATAAACTTAATAATTTCAAATTTGTTTGTAGGATTTTTTAAAAACAAAAGTATACAATCTTGTTGATTCACATTGTATTGAAAATCGACCTTTGGATGTCCTTTTTTTGTGTGTTACATGTACATTACGATTTTGTGCTTTTCTTCAAGCCGATTTTATATTTTTTGTATATACACCTTTTACACTATCAAATGACCACATATTTAAATGGGGCTGTTGGGAAGGGGTTATAATGCTATTTTATTGTAATTCTCAAATTTGAATTCCTCTTGTACACTTGTATGTGTCTGAGGATGTGCATAAATCTTGAATATTGAATCGTTCGTTTAAAATTATTAAAAATAAAATAATCTGTTTTTCCGCGATTAAAACTCCTACTTTAATTACTGAGTTTTATAAGATAGGATACAATCTCCTACAAATCTTTGCAGAAAAAAATATTTTCTGAAGGTACATAAGTCAAATCATGAATATGCTATGGGTCTTCGTGTCGTATCACACACCGAGGGGTGTCAAGATTGATTAAATGAACGGCCGAAGAAACATTAAGTACATATTATGCTTTCCTGAAGCAAAACAAAAAAAATCAATCCATGTTATTTTTTGCTGAAACAATGAAGAATATGGTCCCCTAAAAAATATAACCAAAAAGGAGAAAAACGGTTTGATATCTGTAAATATCCATTTCAATCAAATTTTTTCTATCATTACTGTTTGAGTAATTATGAATTGTTCGGTTGAATTACATACAGTGTTTTGCAGTGAGCTAAAATGTAAATATAAAACCATTAAATGGTCTTATGCCTTGCAGGTAACTTATGTTTTAGATGGAAAATTGAGACACGAAGATTGCTCGAAGCAAGGGACAACAATAGTACATCCTGGTGATGTCCAGGTACACTTACGAAATACAAAAAAAGTTTTCTTTAAATGGCAATATATTCATCAGTAATATATATGATAATTTTTAGTCTCGCAACTTTTGTGTTTCATCAAAAGTAAATATAGCTATAACCCTGTGCACATTCAGGTTACCTAAAGATATTCCACTGCTCGTCAAGATGAAGAACAGTTACACCTTTTTTTTACGCACACTGTACTCCTGAAAATTATGACTTCATGTATTTTCTGTAGGTTGCCAGTGATAAGTTGTAATGTGAAATCCTTATTCGGATCAGAAAGAAGCGCATTTCCTGTTTGCCGATACTTTGAATGTTTCAATCTTTATTCGTCCAACACAATATGCGTCACACTTTTCCCAAGTATTACTAAACAGAATAAATTCGAGTTGTATCGGAAGCTTGACAATGACATGTTTAAACAAATGAGCGCTTTTCAAATTCTTCCCTGTTTTCCGATAATTTGAATTTTTAAAAATGTTGGTGGAACTTAAATTTTTCTCACACATTTATCCAGTACTATTAAATGACTTTATTCTTGAGCTGCAACTTAATTTAACTTGTTACGGACTGACGTTTGGGCACTTTTCAGTACTGCCAGCTACCTATTTCCAGTTTTACTCTTATCAACGTTTGGAGGTATCCGTAGCTTGATAATTCGAGAAAAATAGTGTTTGATCATACTTATTTTTATTTTCAAACCTCCGTATAAGCATCTACTAGTTTTCCTAACCAAATCATGGACTTTTTGCTGTTGATTTATAAGGAGGCGAAATGTATTATTTTGTGAACTAGCGGTGCTTTCAGTTTAAGAGCAATAAATACTGTGCTTATTTTAACAGTACATGTTAGCAGGAAAAGGCATTAAACATTGTGACGTGCCAGACGACCAAAATGAAGTTCATGGACTACAGTTGTGGGTAGACCTACCTGGTAAAATGATGATCGAACCTAATCATGATGTCATGAAAAACAGACCTTTTCTGTCGAATGAAAAACCTGATGGTGTGCAAGTGAAGATCATTGCTGGAAAATCATTGGGACATGAGGTTAATCTTATATATTTTGTCATGTTCTTCAGTACTGAAAGATTACGTTTTTATGTTTACTTAATTTGAAGTGATTAGATCCATATATGTCACAGCTATTTACTTCCATGTTGATCATACCAATAATATAGTGCAAATACTATTGAATATGCTTATATTTCCCCTCAATTTTTGTTTTTAATTTTAAAATAAGAGAACTTAATAATATATCAATAGGATTGACTTTAAATATTATACTAGTATTTAGGTGTCATCAAATATCAATAATCTCGAATATGATAGATTAAATATTTTACTTTATACAAACACCGTAAACGCTTTTGTCGCAGAAAATGATTTAACTGGTTTATCATCGTCCGACCGTCCGTCCTTACATGCGTGCGTTCGTCCATCCTCGTGTTGGTAAAATAGTTTTGTTGAATGTTTTTCTCAAATTCAAGCCCGATCTATTTGATATTATTTATTTAATAGTAAGCTAAGAATGTCAGTTCCGTCACTTATCTATAGATTGGTGCGATTCTAACCTGTACAAATGTTAACTTTGAGCAGACTTTTTGACTGCATTTAGAGGTAATTTGATACATCTTGTGCAGACAACCAAGTTAATCTAATCGATTGTAGACCAGACCTAGGTTTGCTGTTTTATGACTGCTTCATACCTATTGACATGACTGCTCCAGATCAGATATGTGGACATGTCTTTTTTATAAGTTCTCAGGAAAAGTCTGATCCAGACCAGGCCAGATATTTGGCCAGGTCTGCCATTGACCAATACTGAGGATAATTTAGGTTCTGCTTTAGATCGTCTTGTTCGGAACTTTTTTTAATATCGAACCTGGCTCTGGATTATGTCATCGATCATCGTTTTGTTCTTATTTTCGAATACAGCAAAATACTACACTCTATATGAATATATATATACTGTGACGTGACTCTCTATATACACATATTACCATTTCTTTGTTCATTCATTTTTGTATAATTAAAAATGGTAATAAAATTTGGCATTCAAAGAAAGGTAACATAAGAAATCCCTTTATTCAAGAGCTGAAATATTGTTCTGATTTATAGTAATAAGTCGCCGGTACTTATCCAGGAATTACTTGATAGTGAAGACAAACTTTACCATTTAATTATTGACTGCACGACATATCATTTCCTTTCGTTTAATACATGCCATGAAACAGGTCCGTATTGAGATAGTTAACAGAGGACTATCTTACCAGCTTTACCACAAACGTCTAATTGAAATGTCAGAGTAAATTAAGGATGTACACATCTGAGGAGCCAAAAATTTCTTAACCTGATTTTTGGGTTTATATGACTGTTAGAAATTAATTGATGAAGAAAAAATCATTTGGTGGTGCACTTCTTTTTTTGCTACGTCCATTTGAAAGTACCCCATTTTTATGAGTTTTTCATTAATGTTCACCCATTTGTGGGCTATTATCATGAACAAAATTTCACAATTAAACTTTTTTTCGTACTTTCACTAAAGATGAAGTGGACCAATCTGAATAAATTTAACTTAAAAAAACTATAGGTAGGTGTTAATATAAGAAAGTTTTATAAAATTTTGTTGCTTTTTCGTGTCAAATTGACCGAGCTGTAAATTTTGTAAATTTAGGATTTTTCTCTTTTTTTAGAACAAAAAGCATATTATATCAATTTCTTTGTTATGAATGATTGAAAAAAATACATATCTAAGAAAAATTGATATGGGATGTACATATTTTTGGTAAAATCATTTCTTTGTACACTTCACCCACACTACAAAAGTTAAAAAGTCTGAAAAGACCAGTTTTTGTCTGAATTTGCATGAATTTTTACTCGACATTCTTAATTTGTTTGAATAATTTTTAAAAATTCTTGACATAGTATGAATTTGTCTAATAAGGTTCTTGATTTTTCTTGACAAGTGTATTGACAGTATGAACATTGTCTTAAAATTTCTCGACACTTCCTGTATCATCTGATAAGAGTCTGGATTAGTCTCGACCAATTCTTGATTGTCTTAAATTTGTCTCGATCTGTCTTGACATATTGTTGACATTCTTAATAATGTCTGAATATGTCTCGACATATTCTTGACATTCTAAATAATGTATGAATATGCCTCGACACATTCTTGACAGTCTTAAATATGTCTTGACACTATCTCAACAGTATAAATTTCGCCTGAAATGTGAACAGACTTATTCTGCACTGTTTATGACATTCTATTGCTATTATATACTCCTTTTTATTATGGCTAAACTAAACTTTGAAGAATCAAGGATTAATTTGGTATAGTAAGATACCCTTTTGGTGCAACTAAGTTGGAATACCCTGAATAATCCCCCATGTAGTTTAATTTTGATTTATTTTTATTAAACATTTAAGTAATTGTTTTCACTTGGAATATAAGTCGAAGGTATTGACAAACAGCATTTAGATTTTTGCCGTTCGCAAAACTGCCAGTCAAATTTGCTTTACTAGAATAGGTGTCTTGTATCTCTTTTGGACCCCACAATTCATCTTTTGGGTTTGTGTGGCTAAAAAAAGAGGGAGGGGGGGGGGGGCTTTCATTTAGGTCAAGGAATTTGTTCCCATCTTGATTCAAAAACCTTATTCATTTTTTAGAACAACCCAAAAACATTTTTTATTCAAATTTGAGTGTTGAATTTTATAATTTATATCAAAAATAAATATTTGTGATAACTCCTTCCTGAAAAGAAAAAAATGTTTAGATCTATATTATGCATGTCTGTTTGAGAACCATTTCATAAGACCGATGATTTCTATAGAAATCATTGATGGGACCCATTATAAATACATTTATTTTTATTATTCCTGGAGTAGATAATAATTTTCTTTTAATCTTTGGGAATTATTCAATTTGTTTTTATGTTTAAATAATTAACTTCATAATTTTGATGAAGAAAATCCATTTCAATTCAATTTTTTTTCATCAAAATGATGATTTTCATTTTCATCTATCAACAAACTTTTTAAATTGTAGTGGCATGGTCGGTCAACTGATAGGTTGTATGGCTGATTACAGGTAAAGCAATAACTTCTATTTGACAGTTGCGTGAACTCTGGGGTGTGGAATACCTTAATTTTATGGGGACATCCTGTCCATGTGTAATACTTAATATATTCCAACAGATGACATTACACAAATTTTTCTTCTGTTAAATGAATGATTTGTATATCATTATAATTTGCCATTTATATAAACCACATTTTGGTATAATAATTATTTACCATATCAACATTGAATATTATGAATGTAGAATGAAATATGTCTACAGTATGATTGGTTTGAATCATTTAATTTATAAGATTTAGGAATCAAAATTTGTAATTATTTAAAAACCCACATTGAAATTGTTTTATATCAACACACCCACATTTGAATTATTTTATACTTTAGATTTCATAGCCATATTTGCATTTGTAAAAATATTTATATACCCAAATTTTCAATTATTTTACATGCCCAACTTTTATTTTTGTTGTAAAAAAGTGTAACTTGAAACAACAGTATATCATATAAAGAGAAATAAAGATTAAAGTTATATCATGAATATTGGTCATGATTTGTAAAACTCAGAACTGTCAAGTAAATTTAAGACACGATTCAAAATGTTCAGAATATGTCAAGCCATACTGAGAAAAATAAGAATGTCGAGAATATGTCGAGAAATTTCAAGACAGTATTCAAATGTCAAGAATTTGTCAAGAAATTTTAAGACCATATTCAGAATGTCGAGAATATGTCGAGTAAATTTCATACAAATTTAATATAAATGAGAATTTGTCAAGAAAAATTAAGACACAAGTCATACTTTTGGAGAATGTCGAGTAAAAGTTCATGCAAATTAAGACAAAAACTGGTCTTTTCAGACTTTTAGACTTTTGTAGTGCCATTTTCTCAACATTTTGGCTGATGACACTGACCGGATTGCTTATGAAAATTGAAAATTTTATTACTCAAAAACTACTTATTGTAAGTACACAATTTATTCACATAGTTTAGTTTGATTATAATATTTTTTAAATTCATTTATATTTTCCACTTGTATCACACGATTTGGAAAAAATTCCCGAACGAGATTTCAACGAGACTGAAACATCAGAAGAATACATCCTTAAGTCTAGTGGAGAGGAGGTGTCTAGAAATACATCAGATTTTAAGAATTACGATATGCATATATTGATATATATCTAAAGTGCGATGGGGACGCTAAAGTGCGATGGTCACGCCAAAGTGCAATGGTATATGCTAAAGTTCGATGCCTCCATACGCTAAAGTCCGATGGTCCGCGAAAGTATAGACATAAGAAACGTAGTTTGATTATGACGTTAACAGTCGTTTATACAAACTAAAAATGAACACGCCGGAAGATAAATTACTTATATTTGATTAACAACTGTTAAACCACATGTCATTAACTTATTAATAATTAATTTAAACCTAACAGTGCTTTGACGTCTGAAGCAAATGTGGTTTTTTTCGGTAGCAGGAAGAAGAACTTGTATCCTGCAGTCGACAATTTTACTATTTAGATACAAAATAGTATTCGCATAAATATCCTTATCGTGCTTTTATTGGAAGCGAACGGATACATTTAAATCATTTTTTATGTTGCCGTTTACTTTGCGGTCCCTGTTAAAATATAGTTGCTTAAAAAAGTAACATCGGTAAAATAAAGGTACATGTTAACATGCGTAAATTATAAATTGTCGGCTAAAATATTAGTTTGTATATTATAAGAAAATATAACATGTATGTGTAGTCGCTACGAAAAAGGAGAAAACTCGGCGAACATCGCCTTTTTTTCTCATTTAAATTAAAGCTTAAACAAATAAATGTTACATTTCCGACAATAATCGAGTTTTGTATTTGTAATTAACAATGACGACTGTAAGGGAAGGTGTTCCCATTGAGTGATAGACTGTGTGAATGGCAAGCTACGCCAATTATCACAATATTTAATACGTCCGAATTGTTAAAAATTCATTTACAAGAAATATAGTATTTTGTGACACCTAAATTACCTTTTTAGCAATTATTACGTGGTCGGTCTTCTAAATTTAGAAACAATCACTTCAGCCTACCAGTAGATTATAATGCCTATATGGTATACCTTAGAATACTAGTTTTGCAAAAGGACTATTTTTACATCTTATGTTCTTTAACATTTTATAAGCCCTCGAGCCTTACCCTATTGGTCCATCGCACTTTAGCTTGATATACCACCGTACTTTAGCAAACAAACAACCATCGCACTTTAGCGTGAGACACCATCGCACTTCAGCGTAGACCATCGCACTTTAGCGTGACCATCGCACTTTAGAGTCTTGCATATATATTTACGCTAGATTTGAATAGTGAAATTTATTCTATCATATGTAAAAGGTGGAAAGTGTTTGAACTGTAAACTCGTATCCAAGGTTATGAAGAGAAGTCAGGTGATTTAAATTTTAAGTTTTATGCGTATAGCATATATTATTAACGCTGGACTGTCTGACAGTTGAAATGTTTTAGATTTTATGATAAAGATAGATAGATTTTGAACAAGAAACGTTTAATGGTTGGCAGGAGTTTGTCATTATAATCTTATGAAAAAAAGATATATATGCTGTAAAAGGCTTGACTATTGGAATTCTTAAATACTGAATATTTTATATTTTGTATCTTTTAAACGAATAACTAGGCTAAATCGTGTCTAAATTCGTATATGTAGTGATGGAATATTCAGCATATAATAAATAAATAAATTATTGATGAATGATGAACTATTAATTTTACCTTGATGTTCATACTTTTACTGCCTTATACTAAGAGTGTTTCGTGTGAAGGGGGATAAGTTAAGAGTACTTATGATTACTCTTTGAAAGCAAGGCACCTGTTAGAGGAAAAAGATAAGGTCAATGTTACAGGTATATGATTGGATAGTAACAACATTTTTAAGTTGCTCCGTTCCCAATTTTGTACAGTTCCTCTTAAATATATTCTATGCTTTACGGTGACCTATAGTTGCTAATTTCTGTGCCATTTGGTCTCTTGTGGAGAGTTGTCTCGTTGGCAATCATACCACATCTTTTTATTTTTATATTTGCATACATTTTTCATCGTAATTTGCTTTGTTCGCTTTGCATTTAAGATCATATACTCGACGGAATGTTCTAACGAAAGTTGTATATTGCCCGAACATGTTAGGTATTGCATAAAATTTTGAAGCACTTTTGAACCTCTTTGTCAATTTCGGTTATGTCAAGGAATTGTATCTCTTAAACGGATAGAAACGATGCTCGGGATCGATCGTGACCAACGGAGCGATAATCTTTGTCTGTCTCTGTCGGAAGTGTGATAAATAAGATAAAGATTCATGACGGAAGTCCATTTCTTGTTATTAAAATTGACATAACTGAAGACTCGACAAGCGCGTATCTGTATTGTTACACAGTGTAGGAACCGTTCGCGTTTTTCTTCGCACTGGAAGGAATAGCTGTTGGAAGGCGTCTATGAAATCCTTTAATGTCTTTATGCACGTAGTGATATCGTCAAGGTGGTTCCAATCAGTCATGGTTCTTCAAAAGTGTTTCTTTGTGTCGAAATTGCACTGGATAATTTTATAAGCCTTTGAGTTTTTTGTTTCTAGTCTTTCCACAATGTTTGAGCTGATGCAGTAATCAAATGTTTTTGCTTTGGTCTGTCTCTTATTTCTTCTGACTGGTTTTACGTAATCGGTCTTCAACCACTTTGTAGAACATGACTAGACGTTGTTGCTTCCTTTTGTCTTGTAGAGGTTGCAGTTTAAGTTCTGAGAGCATATTTGTGACGCATCCTGCTTCTCCAGAAGTGTACGGATCCCTGATTTCAAATCCGTATTACAAGACTGGTCTAACCATGGATATATATGCTAGTTTTTGGCAATATTGGTGGTATTTGCGTGGGTTTCTGCTGACAAAACCTAGAATACAGCTTGCTTTACTGGTTATTTTGTTGGTGTGACTGTTCTAATTTTGATGTGTTCTGAAATGTTTAGTCCCAAGTATGGGGTCGTTTTTACTTGTTTCAAAATATGATTGTCCAGTTGATAGATATGGCTCGACGTTTGTTTTATGTTTATTATATAGCATTTCTAAGCATTGAATTGCATGACCCATTTGTTAGCTTAGATTTCTAGTTTTGCTAGGTCTTCTTGTAGAATTTGATGGTCTTTCGGGGATTTTATTTGCCGATACATCACGCAATCATCTGCAAATAGTCTTACTTGAGATTTGACGTAGTCGGTAAGATCATTTATATGGCATAAAAATAATATTGTTCCAAGTACCTTCCTTTTGGGACGCCTGAATACACATGTACGTCTGTTGAGGGTTCGCCTTCTAACACTGCTCTCGTGGATCGACATTTGATGAAGTTTGAAAGCTACGTGTTGGTATTTCCGTCTATCCTATGAATGTTCAGCTTATTTAGTAATTCATCGTGTGGTACTGTGTCGAAAGCTTTAAACAAAAGTGTAATATTGCCATGTCTAGTTGGTTATTGTAACGTTCCGGGGTTTTCGAGTCAGGAGACCCGGCGTTACTTATGTAGGCCTCTGGTGGAGGAAGTAACATTAAAAACAATAATGGAAGTTCATAAATTGTATTATTTTCTGCTTCCGTAATATGCAATACAACAAATACAGTGGTTCATAAAATAAATAACATGAAATAAAATACATTAATAAATAATAAGTAATACAGCAAGGTGCATTTCTCGCACCAAGTTTAATAAAACAATTCTTCTTGGGACACTGCATTCTAATACTCTGCATTCTTGGTGCAGGAAAATCTACCTGGTGAACAGCATTCAAATACTCTGCATACTCGATGCATGGTTAGCGGTTTACCCGAGCAAACAGTACGTCAGCATTTTGATATGAAGACTTGGTTAATTATCAAGTATATTAGATATTGTCACCAAGCACTCTGACTTGGTGCAGCAAAATATAGATTGAGATATACTGCTAGAGTTTCCAGATCGGTAGCCGTGGTTTGAGTTTGTTAGTATGTTATGTTTCTACAGATGTTTAAGCATATGTTTGGAAATGATGTGTTCCAGTGTTTTGAGGTTCAGAATACCGGTCTGTTTTCGGCTGCATAAACATCCCCTTTCCTGTACACTGAAGCAACGTTTGTGATTAGCCAATCAGTGAGTAAAGTACCGGTATCTACTGATTTCTGGAATATCTTTGCTATGCATGGTGAAAGTTCCGTTGCACAGTTTTTAAGTATTATATTCGGGATACTATCTGGTCCGACTGCTTTCGAGATGTTGATGTTTTTCATTAGTTTATCAATCCATCAATGGTTATTTTAAGCAATGGAAAGGAATTATGAGCTTTCTTTGATAAATTGCTTTGGGTTTTGCTTGTTCTTGGTTGAGTAAATACTGATTTCAATATTCAAGATCTCAGCCTTTTCTTAACTATCGTTTGTTAAAGAGGGACGAAAGATACCAGAGGATCTCAAGATCTCAGCCTTTTCTTTGCTATCGTTTATTCAGCCTCCATTTGATTAAAGTGAGGCAATTCCAATGTTGTCTTGTTTTTGGCTTTCATGTAGTTCCAAAATGGTTTTGAGTTTTTTCTGCTCAAGACAGACGTTTATGGTATTGTTGGTGTAGTTCCACTCAGCCTTTCTGAATTAACGTTTACATTCTTTCTGAAAGTACCTGTATTCTTTGTAATTTCCAGTACGCTTTGCATATTTATAAATTCTCTGCCTTTCTTTTTAGCATACGTTTTAGTGTTTTATTTAGTCATGGTAGGTTATTTCTCTTTTCAATTATTTTTGATGGTACATACATTGTACATTGAATCTTTGTAGCAATTCATAATAATGCGTGCAGAGCTCAATGCATGATCGGTGGTGCCAAATACTGTATGCGTCACAAAAGACTCCCTCACATCACCAAGTCACTTGCCTGTCGCAAAGACCACAAGGGTTCACGGTTGTATTTCTCTGATGAGGACCATGGTTGAGTTGAATATCACTTGCTATCACCAATGGTAATTCATTACAGAAATGATTTGATCTTTGTTTTTTAATACTAGTACTTTAAGCTAGTACTGATCTTTTCAGTTGATTTGTCCATGGTTGTGTTTATATATATATATAGGTGACTAGTTTAATTTGGTTTCTGTACTTCTATAGTCTTACAATCTGTGAGAGGCAAGCATTATTTGATATCATCATGAAGCTGTAACATTTATCTTATAACATGGAAGCATTTTATTAAGACTTTTTTAAATTCTGAAAATTGAAAAAAATTGACTGATTGATAGACTGCATGTTTTAACGCCACTTTCAGCACTAATGTTTATATCGTGATGGTCAGTTTTTTGTTTTTGAAGAAAGCCAGATTGCCGGGAGAGAACCACCGACCTTCGACAGGAAATCTGACGATCCTAGTCAATTTAGATTGGAGTCGAACGCACCAGTCACGTGCGGGGTTCGATATCACACCATCAGTGTTGACCGGCTAGTGATAAAGAAGATGAGCTACTTAGATCACTCCACCACCGAGGCCCCCAAAAGTTGAAAAGAATAAAATGCTAAAATGAGATATCATCATTTTAAAGAGAGGATATAGCGTCACTGATGAGTCTTATATAGACGAAACGCGCGTCTGGCGTATTAAATTATAATCCTGGTACCTTTGATAACTATTCCTACGAATTTTAAATCTTATTGGTATATTATAAATTATTTTATTTCGAATTATAATTACGAAGTTCGTAAAAACATATAACCATACACTACTATGATAGATAATTTTCGTTTAGTTTCCCCTTACAGTACCTTAAATCTTTTAAGGTGGAAATTGATGTATTAGTGCAGTGATTCTGAAAGGGCATACAAGAATGGAGCGTTGACATATTTAAAAAAAAACTAAATTTAGACAAAGGGTATGCATTTCAATCATATTACTAACTTGGAATGAAGATACATATTTCATATTTTAGGCCACGCATTTCACCGACACGCCTATAATGTTCTTGGACTTCAAGCTAGACAAACAAGCTGTACTTAACCAAACTATACCAGAAGGATGGAATGCATTCATATATATTTTATCAGGACAGGCAACTTTTGGTGAGTCAAAATGAATACTGGCTGATTTTTAAAGGTTTATAAAAAATTTTGTATGCACAGTATGTGAATATACACCAACTGAATAATGCACTTATAATCATTACCTTTCGCAGTAATACAGAACGCCATCTGAGAAACAGCAATAAACACGAGAGCAATGAGATCGCCCTAACGTTTGATTATCGTGACTGCAATATAAACTAATGTTTCCCAGTTGAAACGATAGTCCAGGGTTTGTATTTCCTATCATGATTTCCTTGATAGAGGGTTGCTGCTCACAAGGAAGTTATTAAATCAAGAGTTCCAAGTGGTGAAATTGAAATCATCCCTTCGTAAATTTTACGGACACCATCACGAGTTGGTTGATCGCTTTGGAATATCCGTTTTACAGATGATAGTGGATATGTTCAAAATGTCGTAACTTCAATCCCGTCCCCTTTTCCCCGAATGTGACCTACCGAATGAAGAATTATTACCGGGTTTGTACTAACATGAGCAACACGACAGGTGCCACATGTGGAGTAGAATCTGCTTATCCTTCTGGAGCACCTGAGATCACCCCAGTTTTTGGTGGGGTTCGTGTTGCTCAGTCTTTAGTTTTCTATGTTGTGTTTTGTGTACTACTGTTTGTCTGTTTGTCTTTTTCTTTTTTAGCCATGACGTTGTCTGTTTATTTTCGACTTATGAGTTTGAATGTCCCTTTGGTATCTTTCGCCTCTCTTTATCGGCCATGAGTACTATGTATATCGCTCTTCATGCAGTACCCATCATATATGCACATTGATAAAATAGTATTGAAATAAACACTTTTATAATAGTAAAAAGTAAAATAACAAAAATACCGAGCCCCAAGGAAAATTCAAAACGGAAAATCCTTTATCAAACGGCAAAATCAAAACCTTAAATACACCAAACGAATGGAAAACAACTGTCATATTCCTGACTTGGTACAGTAATATTCAAATACTTGTTTTTATAATCTAGGTGATGGTGAAGCTGCAAAACAATACGGTGCTCATTGCACACTTATTTTAGATCAAATTGGACAAAGAATTGCAGTAGATAATACGGTAGGAATGTTATTTTATTTATCCAAGTCGTGATCTTATACGATGTCAGAACGGTAAACTGATAATCGTAAGGTGATTACAGAAATAATCAGAAAAACATATTTACGGTATTCGGAAAGGTTACAAGAAAAAGCACAAGGAAATCATCTTGTAAATCAGAATTTAATACTTTTGTCTTAAAATATACTTTCTTTTGGACGTTTTGTAATTTGGATTTATGTTTTAGTATGTTATAAATCAAATATCAGAATTTAAGTCAAGTCGATGATCATGAATTTGACAGATAATGCCGCTTAAAAGTGTCATTAATCAGTTATTCTCTTGAATTCGTGCATCGCTTAATTGTTGGGGAGTTACAAAATTACAAGATCCATGTCATACCTCCTATTGAAACATAATTTTTGTATTGAAGTGATATATCTCCAGAAAAAGGAGGTTTTTTATTCAGTATTGTTGCTTTTTAATTTAAAACACAAGTGAACAGAGAGTTGCACTTTAATTCCATCAATATTATCACTACTTACATCCTATACATGTATTGCAGTCAAATCTGTATGATATTAAGCTTTCAACCTTGTATTCAATTTCCAAATATTCAGAAAAATGGGAGATACATCAATATAATACTCACACGAATATTTTGTAGGCAGCTTTTTAAAACTTTATTATTAACTGTTTTGGAGGCAAGTGGAGAAACGATATTATAGCCTCTCAAAGAATGACAGGGAAAACCGGGATCAAAAACATTGAGAATACATTTTTATTGCAAATGATATACCTATTTTCAGCAAAGCAATACCCATTTAGAGGATATCAATTACTTTATATGATCATTATCTTTTTAAGAGCCAGCAGGAGTGCCGCTTTTTGTTGATAGGTGGTAAACCTCATGGGAAAACGATTAAACAGTTTGGTTGGTATAGTTTTAATATGTAACTCTAAAAAAACAAACATACCAAAGGAACATTGCAAACACATTAGTCGAAGTTATACTGATAACGCAATGGCAAAAAAAAGGGAAGACGCAAAATGCCCAAGTCAACAAAACACTTCACAGAAAGCTATCGTTGTCACGTGTTTAGTCTACAAAAGACTCATCATTGACGCTCGAATGCAAAAGTTTAAAAGGCTAAATAAAGTACGAAGTCACCAAACTTTGAATTGTTGAGTGAGAGGACATCGTGTATATAGCAAAGCGTGAAGTTAAAAGATAATGCTTACTCCTTTCCATTCGTATCGAGAAGCTCATGTTCCCCCGAATGTGACCTACCGAATTAGACATATCACCGGTTTTGTACTTACATGAGCAACACGACGGGTGCCACATGTGGAGCAGGATCTGCGCATCGTTCCGGAGCACCTGAGATCACCCCCAGTTTTTGGTTGGGTTCGTGTTGCCCAGTCTTTGGATTTCTATGTTGTTTTGTGTACTTTTGTTTGTCTGTTTGTCTTTTTTCTTTTTTAGCCATGGCGTTGTCAGTTTATTTTTCGACTTATGAGTTTGAATGTCCCTCCAGTATCCTTCGCCTCTCTTTGAAGTCTGCTTCCTATGAATAAAGGAACAAGTCGGCATAAGAAGAGCACAGTTGGGTCCCATAGCTTATAGGAATGTCAATTGTTTGTCTTGATGATGTCAGTTTCATTGAAATCTTTGTTTGAATCAGAATTGTTTAGAAAGTATATTCCCTTCCTGAAACAAGGTATCTATGTTGGCCATTCTTTTCAATTAGACAAATACATATTCTTTCAATCTAACTTTAAGTTTAGAATAATGAATATAACTGAAGATCGGACTACTGTTTTTATACTTTTGCCAGAAGAAAACTACATATATATTGTATGTACTCTAACAGATCCTTGGAATTGTTTAGTATCCACATCTGATTCACAACCCTCTAGAGTAGGTGGTTTCTCAATATATCTGAGAAATAAAATTGATGTTTGGTATGCTGTTTCGCGAAACACTTGGCAGTCCCAGCAATATAAAGTTGTTTGTAGGGTCCCTTGTGTAATTTTGGTATCCAGTACAGTGAATGCAGATCAAATGAAAAATAAACAGATCTATTATTTTTCAGGATTTTCTCTTTTGCAAGTGTCGTGAAGGTTTATGTTGAGTTTCCAAGTGAACAGTCAATACCTCATTCCGTTATCAAGCAGTTTCTGTTATGTGATTTACACTCAAAACGGTTTTGTTCATTTGAAATAGTCTAACATATGAACATTGTTAAAATGCTTTAAGTCAGTTTATCATTTCTGAATGATATCAAATTTTTATTGCTTTTCAAAAATAATTAATATGAATAGAAGGGACTGGTGTTAGCAACATGAAACTGTTACAAACTAAAATGTTACATACAAAGATTAATGTTCTACTCAATGTTGACGCTCTTTAAAAGTATGACATGTTTATATATACGTTACATAAGAAGAAATCCCATGTATATAGGTAAATCTTTTCTTTAACAAACAAAGATTTATCTATTGTCTTTAACAATGAGATTATCATATCAGATCAAAGATCAGCTTGTAATTATAATTCATCATTATATAATTGATGGCATCAATTCAAGAAGTTATATCATTGTACAAACAGAGCATTATTATAAAAAAAACATTGTTCATGTAGTTATAATAAATATTCTCTTATTTTCAAACATTTAATTCGTTTTTTATCAGTTTGGAAATTTTAATAAAAATAAAGCTGGTGACCTTCTCTTTTTTAATTTCTCCTCGGTATTTAGAATGTAGTTCTCATTTACTAATCAGTAGAGTAACATATATAACCACTTTACAAATACATTCATAACATTAAGGTATCAATTACCATGACATAAATTGTGATAATATTAGTTTTATATTAGTGGAGTACTTAATGTCATTTCTCTGTAAGGACCATACTATTTGAATAGGAGTTTGGAAAAAGTAAAATAACAAAAATACCGAACTCCAAGGAAATTTCAAAACGGAAAGTCCCTCATCAAATGGCAAAATCAAAGGCTAAAACACATCAAACGAATGGAAAACAATTGTCGTATTCCTGACTTGGTACAGGCATTTCCTTATGTAGAAAATGTGGAAATGCATGTTCTTAGAATATCAAGGTCTTTCAAGTGACGAAATGATCATTAGTGGTACAAATTCCATATCATATACTTAATAAAACCGATAAACCGCATTATTGAAATGTTTGTGTTTATATGTAATATTCTTTTGTTTAGGCCAGGATTTAATCAGCATGTAGAAATATACTTTAACAAAAATTAAACATATATTTTACAGGCCCTTTTGTAATAAATGATGAAGAAGAAATGAATGGAAGAGGTTATATCAGATTATAAAGCAGGAAGGAACGGTTTTGAAAAGACATTCGAATGGGACTCTGAATATGTAATTAATCGATAATCAAACAATTACAATGTATTATTTTATATATGTTTAATTTGAGCAAAATAGTACTTTTTGTGGGGTTTTTTAATAACACATTTTGGATTTGAGCCCTTTCTGTCAATTTTGACTGATACTTTTTTTGCAATGAAGAACCAACTAGGAGATATTCTAGCTTTTACATGCAGTTGAGTTTTTTTTTCTATTTATCTCTAGGTCCTGTTTATTTAATTCATTTACAGCTTCTTCTGTTATTAGTTCATTGCTCTCAAAATCAACAGTCATACAAAATTGATTTAACCTGATCAATGAGTACATTGTATCCCTTAAATATGTTACAATACGCAATAATTCAAATGATATATATACATATAGAACGTTTAGATATGAGGCTCGATCTTCTCTACGAGGGCGTAGACGTTAGGAAAAGCGATACTGTACACTATAAATAGATTATATATACGTCTAAAAGGTGTACAACAACACCAAAATAAAAGAAACAAAAACAAATACCAATATTAATAAACATTATCAGATATGAACAGTCTGCTGTAAAATTGCGTTTTAATCTATTTTGATTCTTAGGAATCTTCAACGTTTTACACATTAAAAAAACAAACAACGCATGTAGAAATGCTACTTGTATAATTCTAACATCTGAAATATTATTCAAATTAAGTATTTACAATAGACGGGACTGCATATGCATACATACGAAATTAAACAACACACTCAGCTTCTGTTGTTCGCACTGCACAATTTGAACTACACCATTTCATATATCCCATGTAATGCCAACGTTTTCAACTTTCTTATCCAAAATTTTTACCGAGTGATTTTCTCCTCTGTGGAAGAAAAGGTTTTTGCAGTGAATGACTGTTATAGTCAGTCGATTTAGATCTGTCTAAGTGTAGTCAGGCGATCTCAGATGTAGACTGAGAGGAAAGTTTGGCCTACAGTCATAGCAACTACGATGGCCATTCATACGTTTGTTAAATGGCTGTTCTGACTGACCAACATACTGTTTACCACATTTACACTGTAGTAGGTACACAGTATTAATATTTACTTTTGGAAGATGACACAAAACTTAACAAATTTACTATAGCTATAGGAATGAAAACAATACTTTTCTAATGACGATAACATTTACACTCAGGGGGACGTATGTAGTCTCGGCTCCGACGAAAGAACAAAAGTCTAATATTTAGGGAGGGGGAAGATCATGGATTCCAAAACCCAGTAGATGTGCCTCTTCAGATCATAGAATTGACAAAATTATATCCGACGTTTCACATACGTCCACTGGAACTTTCAAAACCTTCAATAATTAAGCGTCTAGAGAAAATGAAGCTGTAAAGCTGCTTAAAAACAGTCGACATATTAATTAAACCAGCAGATAAAGGCAGCTATGAGCTATGTTGTCATCATGAACAAATGTTAACATATTCATGAGGCAGATACCAACTTTCTGATGAAAGATTTTAGAAGAATCTATACTCTGACTCATCTCCTTAATTCAATTAAAAGGTCACCAATTCTTGAAAATCATATGTGAACAGGGTCATATAAACGAAGATATATTCGATTACATAAAAGCTGAAAAAAATCAAAGCCGGGACGTTTCTATCTTCTGTCCAAAATACACACCGGTCAATAATCTTGGTAGACCAATAGTTTCTGTGAATGGCCACCCTACGGAGAAAATATCAGAATGTATTGACTTTCATTAAAGACCACATGTAGAAAATGTACCATCCTACATCAAAGATAAACCACATTATCTAAAGAAAATGTGATTCTTGAACATCTTCCATCTGAAACAATCCTTGTCACGCTTCACGTTACTCATCTCTAAACTAAAACATATAAAAACTTGCACACCCATATAGATGATATCAAAGTGTGTATGAACGTCTGGTATTTGCACTGCACGGTCATCTAGCCTTTGCCTACTCCGTTCGTCTAAACCATTCTTTACAAACATACAGCTACCGGCAGATCAACATGGAAGACTGTATATGAAGAGGTATATGACCAATGACTAAAATAATAGCCAAATCCATTTGAGGTCAACTTTGCGTGAGGGAGTTGAAACATTGGTTTCCTAATAATTTATAAATTTATAAACATACAATTAATCATGTCAGCGCGTTTCCGGAGTTCACTTCATCGGTCAAAGCTCAAAGCAAAATACATGAACTTGAAAGGAAAAGATGTATAAGACCCAAAACAGTTGATGTTGAAGCTACGGGTGATGTCAAAAGCCGCTTTGGTCCCAGATTTCTCCAAGTTGCAGACTTGTTCACACCATGGTACATCTCTTTCCTTTGTTTTTCACTCCAAGAGAAAGAATTACATAAAAGAAGTGACAAACTGGCGATCATGAAATGTGCGAAATACAAGACAATATACATTAAACCCAACAAAAATGTAGTACTTCCAAGTTACATGGATCATAAGATACTGCACCATCCTGTTTGTTGCGTACTTCAACATACTTCAACAGTTGTCATACCAACCAATTTAGACATTGCTCCATCTTTAGTCTTCTACAAATACAAAGATAATCGACTAGTACCAGAACACATCAGCAACGTACCCATTAGAACTATCATCGTTTCACCATGTTCACCAAATGCCATCTTGTGTGAAGTACAACCAGAGTCAGTTGCTGATATTCAATAACCTGATACCAACAGCCGTGATGACTGCATGATGTGAGTCTACTGACAGATCTACTAGACGATGAACAGCTAGAACATGGAAGCAATTACTTCGAAAGGGACGTCTTCAGTACTTCAAACATCGACATGTTTCCCACTTATAAAGTTCACCACCAAATAGACTTCAAGGATGAAAGGCTATTTCAGCAGCGACACTTATCTTATGGTGCAGTTTTAGAGAAGAAAGAAAATTTAAGCAGGCGCTTAATTCTTAAATTTTTGGGTAACCAGCTTTTACAAAACGTTAGGTCTCTGGCAAGGCATAAATCATTTTAAGTGAAACAGAAAGATGACTGGTTAACTATTGAAATGGCTGAACTGTTGAGAATGATATACTGTGGATTCATTTTTTTCGTGGGTACCAATTTTCGTGGATAAAGGAAAACTTACATGTTCGTGGATATTTAATTTCGTGGTTTTGGCGAGGTCTGCATACAAGCCTATAGAAAATTTGTTATTCGTTGAACATTTAATTTCGTGGTTCACCAGTACTCACGAACTCCACGAAAATTGGTATCCAACGAATAATAATGAATCCACAATAGTTCTAAAAATTTATATTTTAATCAGCCACACTGTTCAAAGTTATGTCTCTACACTTAACTTTTTATTATGAATTGAAAAAAGATCGATTGTTGCTAACAACACTCGGTATATATTGTGGCGTTTGATGGAAGATTTCCTAATCGAAATGATTTCCAAGCTTTGTCATTTTTCTGACAAGAAAACGATTGCTACTTCTACTTCGATACAGAAAAATATCATAACTAATGAAAAACTGCCGAATTTCGACATGTTTACATATATAGTATCAGTGTCATTATGCAATGCTGTGTTTAGGACAATAGTTCATTATTCCTGTTTTAATTGTTCTCAGCTATATTTCTTATTTATTTATTAAGTAATAGCATCGACAATTTATATTCAAAATCTAAAGGTGAGCCGGTCAAACTTGAAAACTACGTTACCTTTAGGTTAGATTGTTTGATACACATCTTGTGCTACCTCCAAATCACAAGTACGGTTAATATACGTACTAACCGTACTTGATCCGTCGTAAAACTAATAAACCAAATACATTAGAAGGACAATGGAACATATCGTGTACCTTACTACTGATGCTGACAGCCTCATACGGGTCTATGGTATCTTTTGTACGGTGCAAAGAAGAGGCAATAACTATTTATACCTGTTTTACTATTGCCAACTTGCAGATTTCCTAAATAAGGCTTACGCCTTGGATTATTTGTAACATTTCTTACACTATCTGTAGTTGTGGTCATTTATACCTTGCTTGTAACACACTGTAAAACTTAGTAGGTGTAGGTGTACTGAATCATACCAAAGCATTATATTAGACTTTTACCCCCCTTGTGTTGGAAATATAAATAGAAACCGTTTGAATTTATGTCTCTATGTATTTTACTTCTGTTTTTTTTTTAAATAACGATAGCTTAGATATATATATTATGAAGGCTTTTCTAGATCTGTATGGAATTTGTTTGTACCGACGAGCATCTGCAAATGTTTTAGCTTAAGTTTGATTTTAATAATAAAAAGGTTTCTAGTTATTACTGGTTTAATTTACATTAAGTTGCTATTTATATAATAAAAGTTTTGTGTTGATTACTTAAAACGAAGCATCCCTTTCTTCTTTACTCTCATTTTTAGTTTTGAAAATCAGACGGACTTCACAAAAAACCTAGAAAAAAATTAAAACATGATTGGTCTGAAGCGCGTTTCAGATTCATAAGACATTAAAACCATATAATTGCATTGCCGGTGGATTTATAAATATATGAGGAGCTATATGACCGTGATTGTTGTGTATGCCGTTATATTTTACAGCTAAGGGTTTTTTTCGGTTTGTGAGAGGGCTATCTAATGTCATTATTATTGCACCACTGTTCGATTTAAGGGGAAGGTTGAGCGTTCACACAAATGTTGACCCCCATCCCCCTTCCACACACACACTATCGATACATGCCTTTCCCAAGTCAAAATCCTGTTATTCATTGGTTGTCGTTGTTTCAAGTCAGTCAAATTTGTTTTTCATGATTTAATTGTGATAAATTAGGCCGTTTATTTTCTCGTTTGGATTGTTTCAAATTTTTAAGTCGTGACCTTTCATAGTTGATTACAAAAAATGGGTTTATCTCATTATTTAAGGCCGCCCGTTAGCCTTTAAATGCTAGAATCCGCGTCATTTGAACTCTTGTGGATAGTTGTCTCATTGGCAATCATACCACATCTTCTTATTTTTAAAAAGGGGATACCATCATCATTATACTGAACGTTGTTGGGTAAACTATTCATGTTCATTCTGTTTTGAACAATGTCATTTATTTTAAGTTCTTAAAAGTCATGCTATTGAATTTAAAAATCTTCCTCCCCAGAACATCGAATGGTCATCTCCGTAGCTCTTGAAAATGAAATATTAACATATTTTGAAGTAAATAAAAATAAAGAATCATGACAGCCTTCAAATAACTATAGTTAACACAAAATATAACTAAACTGTTTCTTCTCGTGTCATCAGGCTAAAGTACCCTACATGACCATAATGTCACACAAGAACAAGTCAAGCTATATGTATCTTCTCATTCACTCGGAAAAAGTTCTTCGAGAATCTGTAATGTTATCAGATCATCAATCAAACCAGGGTAAACATCTCGATCGCAGGGTGCTTCTGATACGAAATTTTGTTTCAATAATAATGTGTTCTCGGCTAAATGTAAGAAGTCACCATGAGAACACGTTTTACACATTTCTGTAATAATGTCGACAATGCATGCAAAAAAATCTGTTTTCTCTTCACATTTTACAGAATGTCTCAATATGACCGTTTAGAACATATGATGGAAAAGCTTTCGAAACGCTCCCATCTCGTCCTACAAAGTCCTTCATAAGTCTGTAACATATTTTGTGATGATCTGATAGGGATTTCATGCGCTCGACCTCTGTTAGAGTAAACGCATACTTGAAACAACGATTATTTTGGAAGGATCCCGCGGGTAGAAGAAAGCAGGACTCATTTTTCAGATGTTTGAAACAGTCATTGACGCTTGATTCTTTATCCTTAAGCATGTCTTGCGAAACTGCAATAGCCATTACTGTATCTATGGTGATAAATAATTTTTCTTTCTTTAAGATATTTGATTTCCATAACAAAACAAATGAACCAGCAGGTCCATTTTTTCCAGGAGGAATGTCGGTTATTTCTAATGTTCCATAGTTTTAAGTTAGGACATTCTTTCCAAGATTTCCAATAGCATATTTCAATACAGCTTGTCTTGTAGTAGGACTAAATAGTGTCTTATTAAGATATTCGTCCTTTAGAATATAGTCTTCAAACGTTTCCTTCAATTCTGTATCTATAACCTTTATATGGGCATGTTGAAAAGGATGTTGTACTGCTCCAAAAGGAGTTGAACAATCGTCAATTGTGTCGATAGATATAATTTCTAAAGCCTTAGCCATGTTAGCTGTAGAAAACTTTTTTAATTCAACGATAAAGTCAAATTCTTTCGGGTTACCTATACGAGTTCCTTCTGCCATACTGCCAACACTATGTATGCATTTTACATCATAAAACTCATTATCCCCATATCTTTTAAACTCTGAGGTGATCAGTGTAACCATTTCTTTAACAGAAGTTCTTATCTCCTCTATTTCTTCTGCAGATCGCTTGGACTCTAGTTTCTTACTTTCGTGTAAATCAAGGAGTTTCTTGTTTACATTCTGTCGTGTAGAGCTATTTATTGAATTTTGTATTTTTATAAGTTTGTTGACAGACGGATACATACTGCCGTTAACGTATGGATGATTCTAAGATGTATTTTGTATCCTAAAATCTTTATTTGGACGTTTTCACATCTGAAAAATCCGAAGGAATAATTACATTACATGTATGTTTCATTATAATACGTTATTTTGATTTGCTAATAGCAATCTCGCGTCATTCTGAAATCAACATTTATTTCAAAATGAAATGTAACAGTCATGATGACACGAGCTTCCACAATAAAGTGCACAGTCAAAAAAAAAAGAAAAACTTGATAGAAATCGTGTTTTCATGATCCTAGCAAAACAACGTAATTATAAGTATTGAATGCTTCTTTTAGTAATTTTATAGGGTCGTAAAAGCGTTGGCTGTGTGCATATTTTTAGAATGAAGCGCTTCCACGCTTCATACAAAATGTACTTCGGTCTACGCTTTTACACCCCAATACATTTACAAAAAGAAGCAATCAATTCTTAAATGTAAGTTGACATTCCTATTTTAAGCCTTTCTGTTTTAATTGATATTTCTGTTAAGATTAATTCATATTAATTATTGTCCTTTTGGTATCTTCTGTCTTTTTTGTAAATGTATTGGGGTGTAAATGAGTTGACCGAAGTACATTTTGTATGAAGCGTGGAAATCCATTAAGAAGATGCATGAACAACTATATAATAAGAAAATGTCTACTGCATCACTCCTTTTCCCAAGTTATCCGCACTATTTCCTCACGAAATGGCGTGAATTGAAACAACACAAAACACATAAACAAATATGTTTATCGCACGAATTTAAAAGTAAAATGCATAAACATGTAAAGTTAAATGAATAAATATATATAGTAATATACTTACCCACATGTCAAATAAATTTTTCTTCGTTTTCAGATTAAAAAACATGAGTCGGTCTACCTTTCAATTACAAGAATGTCATTGAAACTCATATTTCCTTATACAACTTTGTTAAAATAGGTAGAATACAATATAACCTTTTTAGATATATTTAGATATGTCTAGCAAAGACATTACCAGGTATTATATAACAAAAGAATACTACCCATGCATAAAACTTTCATGAGTCATGTTTTATTAAAAATAAAGAATAAACACAATTGTTACCACTCACAAATAGGTTATAATGTATTAAATCAAGTTAAACTGGGGCAGCAATTTGTGAACGGAACACGACATAAAAATAAAAATAGCTGGCCATCTGTGTTTGGTGTCCTATGCATATCTTTTCTCTCCTGGAAAGCATTATGAATAACGTTCCATGATAGCACAAATTTGTCCTCAAAAGTATATTATAAAGTACCGGATATTTTTTTTTTTTATTTTGATACAAATTTTTGGAAGAGTTAGCGAAGTCGCTAGTAGATAGCTCGCTCCTACTAGACAACAGCAGTTTTTTCATAAAAAGTTTTTTAATGCGCCATTTGAGATGATAATTGCTAGCAATGGCATTGTCGGTAATGGGGCAATGATTTGGTACTTTGCATTCAATAAAAAGTTGCGCACTGCATTGAAACGTGAAGTTGAATTATTATTCAACAAAACCAAATCTTCGATACTGAATATCAAAGCTATATCGTTTATGTGCAACTATCTATTATTAATTTAAAATCAAGAATGTTACAACTTGCTTTATTTCCTTTTTGAAATATACAAATTGATTTAAACTGTTTAACGAAGCAAAATACATTTAAAAAAATAAACTGTTGCAGTCACCTCACGGGCACACAGTTTTGATCCCACGGTGATTTTTTGACGAATATTTACCTACAAACTATTTTACCTGATTAATTCAGATATGTATTAAAACATTTACTTTCAACTGCTACATTTAGGAATAAATTGGGTCGCAAATTTTAATATTTAATCGAGATTGCGTTTTTTACATTTCTATCCTTTAGGCAGAAATGCATCCATTTTTTTGTTTCATAAGATAAACATACGTGGTTTTTGTAAAAACATTTAGAATACTTTTTACAATTGATATTTATTAAATGTTCATGATTTGTGAAATAACCGACATTTTTTGCTGAATAATCTAATCACAACATAAATTATAGGTGATTTTTTCATCAAATAATGGTACAAATATTCTCCCTTCATTATTCAACCAAATGTCATTTTAAAAATAGGGGTCCATGTATACGTTTTCAAGCGAATGATTGAAATCTGTGGGAACACAATATTTACCTTTTTGTTACGTTTTGACGTCACTTAAATGAAATCTAACGTTCGCGAGGTTATCTTATCGGTGTTCCCACTGTCTCTATCACTATGCTTAGCTCTTCATAAATTTGAATATCATTGCTTTGTGACCTAAAATACGTTAACCCGGCCTAAATAGCTTTGACCCAGACATATCACCGACGTCATAATGAATGAACCCGACGTTGATGATATGACCCGTACTTATCACGTCATCTTCTGGTTTGCTGGTGAAACAATGAAAAAACACTTGTTTCTATCATGCATACTTCACAAATACAATCCGATAAAACCGATTATCAGATCTTCATCATATTCTTGTAAAATATCAATATGCAGACAACCTGATAATCGGTACGTATCGGCCTAAAACAAACAAATAATATAACCAACGGGTCGATTCCACTGTTGGCTGACGTTTCGTCCACGAGTGTATCACCAGCACTATATTCAGGAATCGTGTGCTGACATGACTTGCTTTTCGAAATGGATTGTTCTCATTGTTGAGGGCTGTACGATGACTTATGGTTGCTCACATCTACGTCTGGGGTTAAATTATGATTTTAAGACACCAATACTTTTTTTTTAAATTTTATGAAACTTTGACAGAAGATTTTTTTTATGAAAAGAGAAAATGCATTAAACTATGTTTTGAATATATTTTTTTTCCAATAATATTGTTGTAAATCCACGGATTTTTTTAAAACTACTGGAACAGAAGCTTCTTCAAGATCAGGAAAAAGCATCTGAAGAAAAATATTAGACTTTTATTCACTTTTGTATTTTACAAATAATAGGTCTTTCCCGTGAAGTCTTCAAGAACTTTTGCTATGAAAAGATGAAAAGAATGCAAATTCATTATAGGACTAACGTGACTTTCTAAAAAGGTCTGTCAAATAAGAGTTTCCTCTCTAATGGGTCGATGGACACAAAACTGTCACAGTCTGGGATGGGATATAGTGTCTTCTCGACACATATCCTCGTCACCTAGATGTTAACTAAGTCCCTTAAAGTTACATCGCTTGACAGTGACGCATAGCGACTGTCACTTCAAAAGGCAAGTGTCAGCACATTGTCTATCAAAAAATTTAAATAATTATTAATGGTAAGTTTTATTTAGTTCAATCAAGTCATTAGTTGTTCCTTTTGGAAATTTTGGTTTTCAATGGTCTTTACTTTTGTAATTCATTTGGCCTTCTACTGTTGATTCTATTGCTACCGATGAGTCTTAGATATAGACACAAATGATAGATGAAACACGTTCCTTAAGTACAGATTTTATCTGGTATCTTTGATGAGTTGATGGGTCGTGGGTCTTTTAAAGCTTTCCAAACGATGTGGGTTTTACTCAACACTGAAGGTCGTACTGCGATCTGTAGTCATTGTAATATGGTGAGTCTATTTATACTCAACAACAAAAATAAAAATTTCAAATAATTACATTGCATTTATTGTTTTCATGTGGTCAACAAACATGCATCGATAATTTTTATTTTGATTAGGAATTACCTTCAGTAAAACTTTCCATCACAAAAAGGTCCCGTTTCTTTTATTTAAGCGGTTATCCTAATCAATTAGCAGGAAATAATCGGAAAGGGAATTTTTAACTCAAAATAGATATGTTGGCCCCATCAACTGGAAGAAAACAGTTTGAAAAGAAATGGATATACACAGTTGGTTTTTTCATCTTCAATGCGCTGTAATACTGAATTATAATAAATAAAGACGACCTATTTGAGTGTCCTGGTCACCAATGAAATAAAGTATCAAAATTACTAAAACGCATTAAATGTAACAAGGATCAAATATTAAAAAAGTTCATAATCAACAAGTGTATCATGGTTAGAAGTCTTATTTCAACTTGATAAATGCTGATAATTTTCCAACGATTAACGGTTAAAGTATAGAACCACTATTTCGGCCCGGTCAGAAAGAAGAAAAGAAAGTAGTACGAATTTTAAACAAAATAGTTCCTACGCATAGCTGTAACTTTATCATTAAGTAAAATATTTGGATAATTTTGCTATCAAATGAAAGCTTAAGGACTTGGGATCACTGCAGAACCCTTGTTAAGTTTCATTTGAATAATAAAACAAAATATATGAAATTAAGATAGGGCATATTTGCCCTGTCGCTCAGATCAGAAGTACCCAAACTTCCAGGAACCAGTGCGCTCTAATATGCAATTAAAGCTATGATGATTTTTTTCAGCACAAATCATGGGGAAGGTATAGTTTTGACATGAAGTGACTATCAGTTTATTTAAACTTAAGACAATATAGCTATGAATGCTTGAAGTTGCAGAATTTAACATCGAAAGCAATTGGGCTATGAATTATATATATATATATATATATATATATATATAAGTCTAGAGATTTGCACAACGATACTAATATAAGATGGTATTATACGAAGATGTTGTTAATAAATCGTGTTGACAAATATTTCGGCTTAACAAATAGCCTTCTTCGGTGTCAATTATTTTAACAATACTGATAATATGTATAAAAATAGCTCAATAATACAGGTAAGTTTTGGTCTATTGATTTAATCCAAAATCCTGAACATCATAATATAAAACAAAACTCAATACTCAAATATACGTGACTGTGTATATTTACAACCCAAAATGAGTGAAAAATAAAACTTAATATTTTTTATTGATGCCGTTTGGATGATGTACATTTAGTTCCTTTATCCAAAAGCTTTCCCGAACCTGTCGCTGGGCATCACTCCAGTGAATGTTCTGTTCAATCACTAGGATCTTCATGCGGTTAAAGTCATCAAGTGTGTGACCAGACTGTCTGAAATGTTGAGAAACTGGGAGAAGTGGCTTCTTAGAGATATCACTCCTATGGCCATTGAGGCGTTTGTGGAAAGGCTGCTTTGACTCACCAACATATTGGAGGCCACAAACCGAACATTCTAGAATGTAAATAACATTCATACTTTTGCAGTTAACATTGCAAAATATCTTATAGTTATTTTCGGTTGCCTTACTGTGAAAAGTTGATGAGTGATGCATCTGTAGGCAGCATTTGCAGCGTTTTTCATCACACGAACGACATTCTCCAGAAGTACTTCTATTATCAGACACTTCAGCCCGCACTAGCAGGTTACGCAGACTATTGGGTTGCCTAAAAGCTATCATGGGAGGCTCGGGAAAAATCTTGGATAGTTTGGAATTCTTTTCAACTGTTTTCCAATGCTCACGAATGACACCGAAGCTGTTTTTGAGAGATGGGTGGTAAGTAAGAACACATGGAGTCCTTTTATTTTTCTTTTTATATTTGTATTCTAACAGTTTACTCCTTGGAATAGTTTCCGCTTTCTGAAAGCCTTTTTGGATAGTTTTGTGTTTGTAGCCCCTTCTCTTCAAGCGGGTTTCGAGTTGACGTAGTTGTTTTTTAGTTGTTTCTGAGTTGGAACATATTCGCTTGTCCCAGTGAATTTAAGTTTTCAGCTCTTATATCATGAACATCAATGATTATTTTAAACAGCTTAGAGCTATTAAACAAAAACAAATTAGAACTGAACACCACTTATCTAATTTAACCCATTATGTGTATAATGAAAGTATTCCTAACGGACTACAAATCAAGCTCATGCCACAAACACCTGGCAATTTATCCAACACATTACTTCGCAAATGGGATCAAACCCTCTACCATTGTTCCAAGCGGTTAATGGTCCTCCTCAAACAACACTGCGAAGAATATCTGAAAACTCTTACTGGCGAATTTAACACCCTTTCAAATAGCTGCAAAAAAGATCTCAC